TTAAAGGGTCAGTAGTAAATTAACTGGAGCAGTTGCCATTTTTGCTTTGCTTGCTGGAAGTGATTAGATAACGGAAGTGCCAGGAGGAGAGAAAGAAACGAGAAAGGTATAGAGACTGAGTATGTTTATTTATTTATTTTTTTCTAGCTTTAACAGCATTCATTCAGTTTTCATTCAGCAAAGTAAACCGACCCTCCAAAGATTCCTTCATAACTGGGTGAATGAATTTGAAGCACTGTAGGTGCTCATGAGCTCAGGAAAGTCCAGGTCCCTGTAGCACAACTCTTTGACATTGTGCTAAAATGTCAAACCACTTGAGGGTGTCATAACCTCATTTCCCGTCTATGGAGTTCAGTACTTTTACTAAAACAAATGAGTACCAGAGGTAATGACAGCTCTGCTGTTTTGCCATGAACAACAAATTCAGTAACAGGGTATATTGGTCATTTCTTGCAACTAACTATGCAATATATCTTCATTATATTAGGCATATTTTTGATCAGCAAGATGGGTCCTCTTTTTAAAAGACTGTATCATTCAAAATTTTTGAAATAAATAAATCAAAGAGATTGGCTTGATGTAAGTATTCTTATTGGTATATGTTAATGTTTGAAACCCCTTTTTCTTTTTTTAATATTGCCACACTTAGTTGGACCCTGGAAATTACAGGCTCTAGAGCAGTGGTTCTCAACCTTTCTAATGCCGCGACCCCTTAATACAGTTCCTCATGTTGTGGTGACCCCCAATCATAAAATTATTTTCATTGCTACTTCATAACTGTAATTTTGCAGTGGGAGGAGTAGTGCCATGTCATTGGTGTCAGTGGAAGGAGTAGTGCCCCATCACTGATGTCAGTGGGATGAATAGTGCCCCATCACTGGTGTCAGTGGGAGGAATAGTGCCCCATCATTGGTATCAGTGGGAGGAATAGTGCCCCATCATTGGTATCAGTGGGAGGAATAGTGCCCCATCGTTGGTATCAGTGGGAGGAATAGTGCCCCATCACTGGTGTCAGTGGGAGGAATAGTGCCCCATCACTGATGTCAGTGGGATGCATAGTGCCCCATCGTTGGTATCAGTGGGAGGAATAGTGCCCCATCACTGATGTCAGTGGGATGAATAGTGCCCCATCACTGGTGTCAGTGGGAGGAATAGTGCCCCATCACTGGTGTCAGTGGGAGGAATAGTGCCCCATCACTGGTGTCAGTGGGAGGAATAGTGCCCCATCACTGGTGTCAGTGGGAGGAATAGTGCCCCATCGTTGGTGTCAGTGGGAGGAATAGTGCCCCATCGTTGGTGTCAGTGGGAGGAATAGTGCCCCATTGTTGGTGTCAGTGGGAGGAATAGTGCCCCATCGTTGGTGTCAGTGGGAGGAATAGTGCCCCATCGTTGGTGTCAGTGGGAGGAATAGTGCCCCATCGTTGGTATCAGTGGGAGGAATAGTGCCCCATCGTTGGTATCAGTGGGAGGAATAGTGCCCCATCGTTGGTGTCAGTGGGAGGAATAGTGCCCCATCGTTGGAGTCAGTGGGAGGAATAGTGCCCCATCGTTGGTGTCAGTAGGAGGAATAGTGCCCCATCATTGGTGTCAGTGGGAGGAGTAGTGCCCCATCATTGGTGTCAGTGGGGGGAGTAGTGCCCCATCATTGGTGTCAGTGGGGGGAGTAGTGCTCCATCACTGGTGTCAGTGGGGGGAGTAGTGCCCCATCACTGGTGTCAGTGGGAGGAGTAGTGCTCCATCACTGGTGTCAGTGGGAGGAATAGTGCCACATCATTGGTGTCAGTGGGAGGAATAGTGCCCCATCATTGGTGTCAGTGGAAGGAGTAGTGCCCCATCATTGGTGTCAGTGGGAGGAGTAGTGCCCCATCATTGGTGTCAGTGGGAGGAGTAGTGCCCCATCATTGGTGTCAGTGGGGGGAGTAGTGCCCCATCATTGGTGTCAGTGGGAGGAGTAGTGCTCCATCACTGGTGTCAGTGGGAGGAATAGTGCCACATCATTGGTGTCAGTGGGAGGAATAGTGCCCCATCATTGGTGTCAGTGGGGGGAGTAGTGCCCCATCATTGGTGTCAGTGGGAGGAATAGTGCCCCATCACTGGTGTCAGTGGGGGGAGTAGTGCCCCATCACTGGTGTCAGTGGGAGTAGTGCCCCATCACTGGTGTCAGTGGGAGGAATAGTGCCACATCATTGGTGTCAGTGGGAGGAATAGTGCCCCATCATTGGTGTCAGTGGGAGGAATAGTGCCCCATCATTGATGTCAGTGTGGTGGAGGGGAGAATAGTGCCCCATCATTGGGGTCGGGGGGGGGGGGAAATAGTGTCCCATCGTTGGTGTCAGTGGGGGGAGGAATAGTGCCCCATCATTGGTGTCAGTGGGAGGAATAGTGCCCCATCATTGATGTCAGTGTGGTGGAGGGGGGGAGAATAGTGCCCCATCATTGATGTCAGTGTGGTGGAGGGGAGAATAGTGCCCCATCGTTGGTGTCAGTGGGGGGAAGAATAGTGCCCCATCGTTGGTGTCAGTGGGGGGAGGAATAAAGCCCCATCGTTGGTGTCAGTGGGGGGAGGAATAGTGCCCCATCGTTGGTGTCAGTGGGGGGAGGAATACTGCCCCATCGTTGGTGTCAGTGGGGGGAGGAATAGTGCCCCATCGTTGGTGTCGGTGGGGGGAGGAATAGTGCCCCATCGTTGGTGTCAGTGGGGGGAGGAATAGTGCCCCATCGTTGGTGTCAGTGGGGGGAGGAATAGTGCCCCATCGTTGGTGTCAGTGGGGGGAGGAATAGTGCCCCATCGTTGGTGTCAGTGGGGGGAGGAATAGTGCCCCATCGTTGGTATTAGTGACACAAATGATGGGGCACTATTCCTCCCACTGACACCAATGATACTTACTTTGCTGACCCCTGCTCCAGCCTGGGCTCGCTCTCTCACTTATCTGTCAGCTGTCTTCCTTCTCTGGCCGCTCTCCTCTTCACTCGCTCCGGCAGCTCCCTCGGTCTTCTTTGATGTACGCGCGCTGCCGCTCGGCTCCTCCTCTCCAAGCTCCACCTCCTCGCCGGTGATTGGCCGCCTGTGTGCCTCTCCTGAGCTACAGTTTCCGGTGGCCAATCAGCGGCGAGGAGGCGGAGCTGCTGAGCGATCCCGGAGGTGTGGCCAGGTGACAGCAGCGTATCATCCCGCCCACACATCGCCGGAGACTGCAGCGGTGTCTCGGTTCCTAAGACCATCGGAAATATGTGTTTTTCCGATGGTCTTAGGCGACCCCTGGGAAATGGTCGTTTGACCCCCAAAGGGGTCGCGACCCCAGGTTGAGAACCGCTGCTCTAGAGGAAGGTTTTCTTCCCTGTCTTCCCATGGGAATATTTTGCTGGGTCTTTGATGGACCCTCATTTTTTTATTTTTTTTTTTGGCTAATGACATGCTTACCCTCCTTATTTCCCCAAACCCCTCCCCCTTTTCTTTTTCCTATTTTTTTTTTTTCAGATACTCCCTTTAACTGGGCTGCCCTGTTTTGCTTTTTTGTACTGTTTGACATGATTGTTCTTGGAAGCTTTGGATACTATAATAGGGCTATGCGTTCAAGTGTTGCTAAACCTACAACAGTAAAATCAGTCTGTATATGTAGTAAAACATGCTTGTTGTACTCACTGTGGAACCTAAGGGGTTAATCCTCTGCAATGTGTAAAAAGGCTGTTTGATCCTGACTTCTCTGATCCTTACCTTCTTCCAGTGTCCCCTCTTATCTCCTGATAAGACATGTCACGTGGAGTCACCTTGCACATGTTCAGTTTGGTGTGTATTGCTAGAGAGTTTTTTTGTTTTTGTTTTTTCTTGGAAGGGTGCATGTGATCAGGTACCCCAGTCAGCACTGTCCAGACAGAGGTCAGGGATCCTACATCCTCCTAGAGCAAAATGAAAACTCCTCCTGCAAGCTTTAACATGTGCTTTGCTGGACACTGACAGAAGCCACAAGACTGCTCTAACTGTTGATGAGAAAAGGTATTTAGCAGTTTATATTTACTAATATAATTGCACTTCCATGTTCTGTGTACTGTGGGAGACCAGATATAGTGAATGCAGGGTCCTGGGTTTAGTAACGCTTTAAGGGCTGTTTTTCACTTTTGTTTTTATTGGAAGCTGGATGACATTGTAGACGTTTAAAGTTAAATGTCTGCCATTTACAAGTGCTGTACTATTCTTATTTATTCAATAATCAAAAACTGAATGTATCCCTTTTTTCTGTGTATAAACTGTGAAGATCATATAAAAAAAAGTACAATAAAGTGGTGGAAAATGCAAGGCTTATTAAACGTGGCCACGTCCCACATATAGAAATGCCACATTCTACATTTAAGAAAGAAACACCTGTCAAATAAAAGTTTAAAAATGATATTTACTTTACACCCTGTTTCTGCAGAGGAGAGGGTGATATCACAGACCTTCCAGGAAAATCCTTTAAATGCAGAAGATCCCAAATCTCAGATGCTCCAGCACAGTCCATAAGCATTTTCTTGCCAGATTTGGGATCCTCAGTGTTCCCTGTATCTTGCCATAGACTGTGATGTCACTCTTAGGGATCAAGGACAGAAACTGAGTAAAAGGCAAGTATATGTTTTTATACTGTGGAATGTTGGTTGGGTGGGCCACTATTTAATAAACACACCAGGCATTTTTGCTGCAAGGTCAGCTTTCGTATAAACAGTACAGTCATAACACAAAACATACACCCACTGAAAATACACTTTCAGTTTAGTAAGTTACCGTATTTTCCGGCGTATAAGACGACTTTTTGACCCTTGACAATCTTCTCAAAAGTCGGGGGTCGTCTTATACGCCGGTATACGGCATACTGACACTTTTTAGGGGGGCGGTGCGGGTGGTGCCGCCGCCGCCCCCCCTTCCAACGAAGGGACACTAAGTACAGGGGTGGGCAGGGGCTGCTGTCTCTTACCTGGCTCTGGTCCCACGACGATCCGGTCCAGGAAGCGCGGCTGCTCCTTCAGTTCGGCCACTGGATGTTCGCGCGGCTGCTCGGCTCCGCCTCCTCACCGGTGATTGGCCGCCAGAACTGTAGCTCAGGAAAGGCACACAGGCGGCCAATCACCGGCGAGGGGGCGGAGCCGAGCAGCCCCATGAAAATCGAGTGCAGGAGCAGCAGGTAAGTGTGCCGTGTAGAGGTGCTGCTGCAACCACATATGCTGGCTGCAGCAGCACCATACTAGAACAGGGTCAGCAAGTGTCATTGGTGTCAGTGGGAGGAATAGTGCTCCATCACTGATACCAATGATGGGGCACTATTCCTCCCACTGACACCAATGATTGGGCACTATTCCTCCCACTGATACCAATGATGGGGCACTATTCCTCCCACTGACACCAATGATTGGGCACTATTCCTCCCACTGATACCAATGATGGGGCACTATTCCTCCCACTGACACCGATGCTGGGGCACTATTGCTCCCACTGGTGTGCATTGGAAGAGGGGTAGTCTTATACGGCGAGTATAGCCCAAACACTACATTTTAGCAGGAAAAGTAGGGGGTCGTCTTATACGCCCAGTCGTTTATACGCCGGCAAATACGGTATGTAAAGGCTCATTCACACTATCACGTTGCAACTGCACTAACACGTGTTCATACTGCCCCAAAATCAAAGGGTACATAGTTTTACATTTATGTGTTTCCTTACAGTACAGTGTGGTCTGTTTTTGAAAAACATGCGTTATATTATTGTCAATGGTAATGCATTGCACTAAACACTATTTCATCAGTGCATTCCAGTCACATGTGCATGATTTTGCAAGTTTGCAGGAAGGCAATTAAAAAATATAGGAGGAAAAACGATTGCAAAGCTCTTGAGCTGCATTATATTTTAACCACTTGCCCACCATAGGATTTACTCCCCTTCCTGACCAGGCCATTTTTTGCAATATGTGCTGCATTACTTTAACAATTGCACTGTCATGCAACGCTGCACCCAAATGAAATGTATGTCCTTTTTTCCCTACAAATAGAGATTTCTTCCAGTGGTATTTGATCACCTCTGTATTTTTTAATTTTTTGCACTGTAAACAAAAAAAGATCGACAAAATTTAAAAAAAAACAATCTTTTGGACTTTTTGCTATAAAACATATCCAGTAAACAAAATTTAAAAATCAAATTTTGTCATAAATTTAGGCCACAATGTATTCTGCTACATGTCTTTGCTAAAAAGAAAATCCCAATACGTGTAAATTTATTGGTTTACGTGAAAGTTATAGCGTCTACAAATGACGGCATAGATACTGGAATTTTTATTTTGTTTTTTTATATATACTAGTAATGGTGATGATCAGCGACTTATCCACGGACAGCGATGGGCATTCTGACACTGGGGGGGGGACTGACTAACTGCCACTGACATCCCCAGTTACGCTAATACAGTGATCAGTGCCAATAAAAAGCACTAACACTGTACTAATGACACTGGGCAGGAAGGGTTTAACATCTGGGACAATCAAAGGGTTAACTGTGTGCGTTTTATTATGAGGCTGTGTGTGTGTTTTTCCACTGTAAGCACACTGTTTTGTATGGCTCTGCTATGCATATTACTAGGGAGACATGCTGTGCAGAGAAATACAAAGCAGCATGTCCTTGATGACAGGGGAGAGACCTGTGTTGTTTACAAACAGACCTCTCCCCTGTCAGTGATACTCGGCGAGATTCCCCGCCGACACCCGGCGATCGACATCTGTAGCTGCCAATGGTGGCACAGGTAGGGCGGCGCGCGTGCCCCTACCCGGAAATGCAAATCACGTATATATATATATATATATATATATATATATATATATATATTTGATTTTGCACAGCCCTGCCGCCTTGTAGCAGTATTTCAACTATAGGGCAGCGGGGAAGCAGTTAACAGCTGCCATGAACAAACACTTAATGCATTTTCTAATGCAATGGTGTAACTGGGCCCTAACAAAGACCAGAATGGACCATTCAGACTTTCTTTCTGCAGGGTATATGATCAGTTTTGGCCTTTCCCAGGTTTTCTAAGATTTTCAGGCTGGAAAGAAAAATGCAATATGAGACACAAGATCATTCTATGAGAGAGATGAGTTCAGATTTGGGCTTTAAACATTGTGAACAATCCACCAATACAAATACAGGGAACAAATTATAGTGACCCAACATAAAACATTAACAAAAAATACATAGAAAAAGACAACTTCCTGCCTATTACGCCTTCTTAACCTAAGACAGTTTTGTATTCTCCTGTCTACTGGCTCTTGTGTCCCCATCTCTCATGTTATTTATTTTTCTTCTGTTATAATAAAACATTTAATGCCTTTGAAAGGTCTCAAGATACATCATCAGCCAATCTAACCCAAACTTTTTCAAATAGGGTGCCCAGGCACCCCGAGGGACGGGGTTGGGGGGCTTCGGGTATCTTCAGGGGTGCCTTGGCAAAATGCCCCAAAAAATGTGCCCCAAAATTTTCTTGTTTAATAATTTTTATTGGATTTTCAAGACAGAACAAAATGAGCACTAATTTCACCCAGGCATGGAAGGAAGAAGCATCACATAGTGTGAAACATAGTAAGGTGCCAATAAAGCGAGAACAATATATACAATTTTAACAAATAAATGGGAAGAGCAAGTAGAATACCCTATAATGTGGATCTATGGAAACCAGAAAGCAAAAAAACAGGAGGTTAGAGACCCCCAAGAGTAAGAAAAAGGAAATAAAGAGAAGAAAAAGCAGATGTGGAGGGGGAGGAAGGGGATGAGGGGGTAACATGGACTCAGGACTACCTCACACGGCAATCCTAGGCAGCCAATGCTAGCCATATGTAATGAGGGGAAAGAGTACTCGATCCAAAAAAATTGGCAAAAGATTTTATACAAATCAGTGGGTGGATCAAGCCTGCTTTTCAGTTACATAAAGCCACAGGTTTCCATTGGGCACCATTACAACCTTTTAGCCACCGACGTCCTAACAACCAATGATATCATCGGTTGATAAGGAGGACGTCAGGCGCCTACATAGCATTCTGGTTTTCCCCTCTTCATCAGCACTGGGGTCACATTACCTGAGTGAAAGAGAAAAACTGAGGAAGAAGAGAAACATTGGCATACTAGTCAGTACCAGTGTGCAAAGGTTAATTTGCTTTGGAAGAATAAATCTCCTCTAGTTGAGTGTCCTACTTGTGTGGGTTTTGCTTCGTTATGTAAAACTATTATTAGTATAGTTTTTTACATTTTTGAATGGGGTGCCTTGAGATTGTGCAGAATTTTAAAGGGTGCCTTAACTGAAAAAAAGGTTCAGAAACTCTAGCCTATGTTCAAGGCTCCTTATCTCATATGGATTATGCATTTCCAGTATTTGCTAACCTGATTATTATCACGTGCTGATTTACTGTTTGTAATACCTGCATTTTACCTAACAAAACCTGATTTTAAATTAAAAAAAATAATATAACAAATAACTGCTGAACTGGCCATATTTATTTCAGTGTTATTAGAATAACCTATCTACAGTATTTAAACCCAAAGCTATGATTTTCTAAAACTACCAAAAGTGTTGCTACCTTACAACCATGGTAACATTGCTCATGTGATTGACTCGCCCACAGCTTTTCTCTGGTGAGCCAATCATCGCACTCACTAAAATAGAACTTCAAAATAGTGGATTGGCATGTCTCTATGGAACTGAAGCAGGTAAAAATGTGCAATAATGAATTCTGACTGATTTCTTTTAGACACAGTGGGATAATGGTTTGAACCTTGGTCAAATATTTACTGCTTTCTGGGTCTCCAATGGGAAAAATGTCCTTTTGCTTCCTCTGTGGTCACCAAGACAGGAAGAGAAACCTTGTACGATGGTACACAGGCAGGAATAACTATCTGAAAGAGGTTCTGTTCTAACAATTCCTAAATCCTTGCAGTGTGCATGACCTTGAGAAGGTTTTTTTTTTTTTTTTAAAACAGTCTGTCCACTCAAAAGTGATCATTTGTTTTCTGGTAGATGCTCACGAGTTAAACAACCAAATGTGTTCCCATATCGCTCAGGAAATCTGGTGGAAAGATCTCTCTGCTTGAGATTCTGGGCATGTACAGTACATCTGCTTTGACAGTACAATTGGGTCCCATTCTCCCCATTGGATTTAAAATGTATTTTATATTGTGGATATTAAAATAGAAGGGGTGGGTAACTCAAAATGTTCAGTAAGGACTGTGACAGTAACTATGAGTGTACCATGTTCTACGTCATCAGATGAACCAAGGACATTTATTTGGATTTACGAAGAATGGGCTGATGGTACAATGTACAATGCATATATCTGGCAGTCCAAGGGACAGTATGGAGGTCGACACATCATCCCAATATGTCAATGTCAGTATGATGCTTTTATCAGGCACTGTTTTGTCCTCCTGGATCCATTATATTGATGTATACCAGTCATTCTCATATAGGATTCTTCCAGAGCAGTGGTCTTCAATCTGTGGCCCAGGAGCCAAATGTGGCCCTTTGCTTGATTTTTATCTGGCCCTTGGAGCACTGCTTATTCCACTGACACACCAAAAATGGGGCATAATTCCCCCCTCTGACACCAATGAAAGGGTACAATTCCTCCCAATGACACCAATGAAGAGGCACAAGTCCTCCCAATGACACCAACAATGGGGCATTATTCCTCCCAATGACAGCAATGATGGGGCACAGTTCCACCCATGACACCAACAATTGGGCCCAATAACACCAATGATGGGGCGAGATTTCCCGATGACACAACAATGGAGCACAGTTCCTCTCATTAGCACCAAAAATGGGCATTGTTTGCTCCCACTGATACTGAGACACAGTCCCATGTCCACAGTCTGGCCCCCCTAAAGTCTGAAGAACAGTAAACTGGAGCTTTTTTATATAAAGTTTGGAGACCCCTGCCTCAGAGGAAGTTAGGGGTTCCTTGCCCTGTGGTTGATTGACCTCCCATTTGATGGTGCTTTTATAGTTCCAGGGACAATGCTATTTGGTAAAACCAGCAGCATCACACAATTATCTGTTTAGCTGTCTGTAAGAGTGGCATTCTGACCATCACAGCAAGGCAGCAAGGGTTGCGTTCTTCCTACTGACCCCCCATGTAAGGGGTATTTTCACCATTAACCTCTGATGAACTGGTTTTAGTAGGGTTCCCCAAGACCTGAAAATGTTTTTTTTTGGGGTTCCTCTGGGGAAAAAAGGTTAAAGGTTGATGTGTACAATCTGACACAATGGTATTTTTTTGTTGGTCTAGTTTATGTCCATTGAGTAGTGTCCTAATTCATAAACATTTGTGCAGAACACTTCTACATTTTTATAATATCTGTCACTAGTAATAATGGTCACTGTCACGGTATAGGGGCTCTGCCAATTATTAATTTCTGCTGTAATCCCCTCATT